TAGGCAGCATCATTAGAAGACATAGCATACATTTACACTGCTATGCAGATGACACCCAGCTCTATCTGTCCATGAAGCCAGATAACACACACCAATGAGTTGAATTCGATTGGATAAAAGCTGCTGTGGTGTCGTGAGTTTGTCTTTAACCCGACTGTGACCCACGTACCCCGTGGACGGCTACCTGCCCCTCCAGAACCCTCCAGCTGCAGACCTGATGAAGGCCCACAAACTGCTGGGCTACATCAAGAACGTCCTGTCCACCGCCATCGACGCTCAGGTAGGAACACGAGCAGGTGAAAATGGCATTTCCTGTGTTCAGCCTGATGTTTGGTTGACGTGCAGGTGAAAGGTGCGTCCTTTGTCTGTCCTTTACTGCTGCAGGAGGAGAGGCTGGTGGAGAAGGACTGCGCCGTGTGGAGGCTTCACGGAGAACCCACCGTCCTCGTCACTCTGGCTCACATCTTTAACCACTTTGCTCCACTCATGGTGAAACATACTGTGTTTGTAGCTTATTCCCTTTATTGCACGAAACGTCAGGAAACTGAAAACCAACCGAAGATACCGACGTGAAGCTAACAGGACGTGCTCAGCTAAAACTGACCCGTGTTCTGTTATTAACTGAATAATCACATCGGGTGTTAAAACACACTGAAAGTGCTTAAACAGCGCTGTGGTTAAAACGAGGCTCCTGTCGTCCGTGTTTCTGGATCAGGACTTTTCCACCAGAGTCGATTTCTAGAGTTCGTTTTTATTATCAGATGTTGTCACTCGTATTTAAATACACGGAGAAGAGACGACAAGGAAAAGCATAAAATACGTCGGCTCGCTTCCTGTCGTGGTTCATATGAAGCATAAAGTTTCTAATAATGAGCTGAGAGTCACTCAGACTGTTTCTCATGATCCTGCTGTGAGCTGAGACACAAACAGAAGCAGATTATTCAGCTGGATTTTATATCGAGCATCAGAGCTGTAACTGTAAAGTTTAAAAGCAAAGACTGCATGCATCCACATGGACAGGAAGTGTGGTTTGTATGTTTCTGCTTCACTGAAGCAAACCGGAGATGGCCTTTGTTTTAATTCCCAGACTGATCGTGCACCGTGATGTGCAGCTGATTAAATCCACAGTGGAAACTAAATCCTCTGTTTGGGGCGCTGTTTGTGCAGGCGACGCGTTTGAATGGATGAAATCACCTCTGTCTGAAAATGTGATGTCATCAGGTCACGTGCACTGATGGTGGCTGTCTGGTTGCAGTGTAAGGTGTATCTGGTGGAGGACGTGCTGATGAACTTCCTGCTGGGGATTCTGGAGGGAGGAGGTTCGGTGGACGAACACCCGCTCATCCAGCAGCTGCTCGACCTCTTCTGGCTGCTGATGGAGGTAAATCTGCACGCTCGGCTCACTGCTCCAACCGTGGCGCCCCACCCGCCACCGCAGGCCTAAACCCAAAAACTGGACTGTGCGTCCACAGGGTAACGGCAAACACGCACAGAAATGCAAGACGTGTAAACAGAAGAAGAACCGGGACGCGCTCAGGTTCAGGGGCGTCTTTTAAAGTTGCTGCATTTATACCTGGCCTTGTGGACCGTCACCTTAACACCTGTTTACCTCATTGTTGCAGCTCCGCCTCGTGTCCGACTGTACAGCTGCGTTTTCATCATGACTTCCTGTTTCGAGCTAAAGTCACACCAAAACACGAAACGCAGGTTTTTTACAGTGAAAACCACAAACGTAACAAATCATTTAAAAATGTTACATTTCCAGAACGATCTGATCAGCTGCTCGTCGCTGATGAGCTGCGGTAAAGCTCCTCTTCGGTTATTAAAAGCACGCATCACGACCTTTAGAATACCTTTTGTCGAGGGTCAGTGTACGCGCACACCTGTCTGTCCAGGTGTTTGTGTGTTTCATGTTTTCTTCAGT